TGTGTGTGTGGGAGGACCATCATATCGATCGATGGGTTGCATTGGGAACGTGGTCTTGTCTTGCATTCTCTCACCACCGAAATTGTTAGAATAGATAACCTAGTTCGAACACCAGTGTTCTTGTTATCCCTGAACCTTCATCTTCACAAATAGCCCAACCTCAAACAAACCTTTTCTTGTTCCTTATTCTAACATCTGTTTCTTTTTGCCAGGTCAGATTAGCACTTATTTTGTGGTGAAAACAATTTGCACCCTTTCATCAACCCATCCATTGGGTATTATAATCTACAGTTTTTCTCACGTTGACTGAGGGAACGCAATTTTTATCATACACATACAGACCTAAACCTTTAACCGCACACCGTCTATTCCTCCCATGATGTTTTGCACCTAACTTTGGTGATAATCATTGAAATATATATCTCGTCTGCGCTTAGGTTAAGAATAACCAGCCGTTCACAACCAGATTGTTTCGTACGGGGTGGCTACAGTATCGTCGTTTGAGCGGACTACATGGTGCGTGCTGTGAGTACTCACAAAGTTCACGTAAAGCTATTCACACCTAACGTTTCCACTTCAAAATGAACTGAATTGGGACGGTCCTTACAGTCCCAGTGACGAATTTTCCTCCATGTAAAGCATAAGGTGGTGATCTGCGACACCAGTGACAAGGATGAAGCGATTGAGTAACAGTTTTGTGGAAATTATAAAAACCAGCACTGTTCCGAATCCGTGATGCAGGTGAAACCAACCCCGCTCAAGACATTACTACAGATAAGGAGATATGGATATGAGATCACTTACGGTTATCATTCTTCAAGGTGGAAATTCACGAAGTGAATTTGTAAAACAGTTGAAGATTAGCCGTATGTGAATCGAGAATGGACCACAGTAACCACACAAAGAAGTCTTACTTTATTCATCATCTGCAACTACAAATACCGCTCATTCAAGTATTCAACTAGAACTGAATTGTTTTCAATAACCACGACTTCATTGGGTCGGAAGTGGAATGGATCATTCGGGAACTTCTCTGAATTCGTTCTCTAGCTTTTGAGGAGAGATGTTGCGCTCGGGCTCATCGTGGAAGCACTGATATCACAACGATTGCACTAATGTTGTTATAATTCCACAAGGTGTTTCTCGGTCGACATAAGTTGTTTATTGCATATAACAACTAGGATATCACTGATTTAGCACACGTATTACAGAAATCTCATTTGAACCATGTCATTGCAATTGCCAGCAGCACGCCGGGTATTGACTGGAGTAGTCCGCAGTTATTCTATTGGACAAAGCGGTTTGTCCTCAATGGCCCTGTTTTTTGATCGTTGGAAAATACCGCCAAACGCACTATTTAGCATACCACTCCTAAATGTTAGTAGTACTTCACAACAGTGTCATAGGAAATAAGTGTTTAATTCAATTCCGTAGTAAACACTGTAGTTGCGTGAAAGTAAATCACTTTGCTTGGGCCTGAAAACTGTTAGGCGAACACTGTTGCTTTCATATCCTCTATCTAATTGGGTTCACGAATGGTGCGCAATTCAGGCAAAATCAACCATTATTTGTGGCTGTTGGAAATCAAACGGATTGCCTCTTGAATTTGGGATTTTTACCTGCACATTGTTCTTTGTTAGAAAATATTCAAACCTACAACCTCAGTCAGTGTCAGTGTCCTGCGTGGTTTGGTCGAAGTTATTCAAGCGTGATACGATGTCTCTCCACACACCCTGTCATATGCTGATGAGGCGTGAAGCGAGTATTTTGCACTTCCTTGGTGGTTATTTCATAACGTGACACCTGGAATTTCAAAACTGACGTTTAATGAACTAAAGTCACATAACAGTCGTCGGACTTTCAGACGTGATATAATTAGATGATTTCGACTATTACTGTCAAATTTGCCACAGTGGACAAACAACCGACGAGCCAGATTAAAACGAAACACCTGGATAATGAAAGTTATAATGGTCAACAATTGTTCATTATGTACATGTAACCAAAACACGCTGATATGGACACATCCCAAACCACTGCCCACACACACCACTGATGAACAACCCAAACGGAAAAATAAACGATCATTTTTATTCGGTACCAAACAGAATTCTCTTCTCCCCATAAAAAAATGTGACAGTGCTGCCAACTGAAGAAAGCTAAACAGTAAGCTAACATAACTTGAACCGTCTACTCAATTATATATATGTATTATCTATTATTATTATAATCATATATTATATTATATATATGAAATATTTTACCAAGACAATTAGGTCACGTTTGTTGTGGTTGGTAGTATCGAGCCCACTTACAAAACATCGATTCATAGCATTGATTCTTCATTGGACTGGTTCTGAAGATGCTGTCTATCTAATGGTTACCCGGCGTTGCAAACAGGGTTATTGTGAGGAAAATATATATCTATATATATTCACTGTAAATTCCCATCGTGACATTGAGAGAACAACACGAGTAGCAAACAAGCTGGTTTTTGATAACTTCATCCTCTGGCTAATACAGTGAATAAATGTGCAACAAATAATGTCAGAACGAAAATTCGTTGATTGGACGGCATGAGAGTGGTGAAGAGTGGTTGGGAAAGACGTGAAAACAGAAAAATTGTTAATCCGTAGTTTAGAATAGGAAATCGTGAAAACCGAGAAAAGAGAGAGAGGGAAGAGGGATGAAACAGGAAGGGCGAGGTCACACACACACACACTTAGGGCAAAGAGGTCACGAGAAGCGTCATAGGTGAATTGACGTTCAGTGTCGGGTTTGGGCCAGGGTAACTGTAAGGCTTTGACAAATTGTGTTTTTATGAGCATACAGTTGGGTGCAATAACCGTATTGCCACCGCCTCTGCTGTCGAAAGATTGCGCTGTCGGAGGGGTTTGGAGGGGTTTAGGGGTACCTTGTAGATAATTTTGAACACATCCTCAGTTATCTAATGTCCGGTATGTACGAGGTGCGCCGTGATTGCATTCGAAACGTTCCCNCCTATGGTTCCTGTGTTTAACCAAGCCGGTTAGTGTTCTTTGATTCTTCGAGAAAACTGTCTGATCGTTCTGCCTATGTAGCTTGCCGAATATGAGCAAACGGAAGAATGGGTAAACATGGAGGAAGTGAGGATAGGCAATTTATCTTTCAAATTCAATGGCAGAAAACATCGGCTGGTGAATTTTGTACGTAACCGGGCCGCAGGAAACGTTCGAGCGATCGACGTAGGTCCCTTGTTAATAAATCACATATATATTTCACTCACATCTGACGCCAGAGTGTATATCAAGTAAATCATGATAGAATAATCATTATGAAAAAAAACGTTTTTTTATAATTTGCTTGTGGGCGGACCACTGGCAGGTTGCCCGGACCAAGTCAGGTGAATTTTCTCGCTGAATCCACAATCGGAGCCTTTGGCTAGCAAAAGCCTGACCCGCGAGGCAGCGCGGGTGTGGGTGTGTGTGTGAAAACTGCAACCCATTTGGANTGGACCAGTGTCTACTTCATCGGATCATGCGCCCTTTGGACGGGGTCCGGGGTGCCTAATACACCCCAATGCCCAATCGATCCGGTAACGACTGCCACAACCAGGAAGTTGTGTATGCGGTTTTAACGCCTCCTAATGATTGGTTTGGGATCAGGGTTTCGGTCAACTCCCCTAGGTGAACTACTAGTGGTCCACTAACCCGTTTATAGCCCCGGATATCGACTTTTCGTCCTCTCACTTTTGCGGGCAAATACCTGGGCCACTAGACGGCAGTGAGTAGGACATCCTCAGCAGAGGCAATTTAAGACACTTGGTTGTATGAGATCATTTGGCGGGGTGCAAATGCATTGTGACCAGCCGCAACCCCAGGCACCCACTCCCGAGCGTATTATGGCTTTTGGAGTCAAAGCCGATCTCAATCCGTGTGGATCGGTGTATCAGCACATGCGATGCTTTTTATGCAAACATCAGCTCATGCTCATTTTCTACTCGTTAAATCAAAATTCCCGATGAATTTGTCCTGTCACGGATGATGACTGTAGCTTTGCAGGTGACAGGATGCGTTCCTTGCATCGGAAGTCTCATAAAAGTGATTTGAGGTTTGGTGCGGAATAGAAAAATAAATGATGTTGATAATAATGATAATATAGCATTTCAACTACTTCATGTTATTTTTATTGAGTTTACAGACAATTTTCAACAGGCGAATCCTACCATATAAAATTTGCTTGAGGATGGGTGGCGAGGCACGAGTCGAACTCAGGACCTCGAAGTTAACTATTTTTAAGACCCTGAGCACATGACCATCACCGCCTACTTTTGTGTCTTATCAAACGTTCTCCCGCCCGTAAAATAGTCAGTGAAAAAAGAACCCAAGAAAACTCGTTTCTCTTTATCTGATAAACGGTCTCAAAATGGTCCGAACACCCACAACGCACCCTCGGGTATGCACATGTCTTTATCGCTTTTACTACCGAAAAACTATAAGAATTGTTCACCACCGATGGATAAAGCTTATTCTTCAATCAACCACCGGCTATTCAGAAAGAGTTTTGCTGGTTCGTACATCCGTTCATCAATCGATCCATTGCGCGTAGATTAAATATTTTGGAGGTAGACAGTAAAACTAATGACCTTTACACTCATCGAACATCAAACTGACTATCCACGGGAGCACAACGCAAAGATTTGCTTTTTCTAAGATTACGCACGATTTACTGTATTTGCTTCTAATCGCAACACTGTCAAAACGAAATAGTAATTCACTTTCTATTATTTTTGATATAACTCAAAAGCAACATCAAATGAGTATTGTTTGCTTTATTTTCCGGAAAGCAAATCAAAAATTTCAGTGGGAAAAATATGCCCGAATACAAGATACAACAATTTCCCAAACCCAAATCGGTTCTACTCCACTACGGGATTTTCCGCATAGTTTGGGATTGGATTCTGTTGGTGTTCACTTTCTACATCGCTTTTATGGTCCCATACTATGTGACTTTCGGACGTCGTGTTGTTCACAATGATACACGCAAACGAATAGTGGATCTGGTGGTCGAGGTGCTTCTCATTGTCGGTAAGTTAATTCCCATTGGTATTGGTTATTCGAAATTTCTGCGGACAAATAGTCTCCGTGTTTTGTGTAAATGCTCACATTGTCTCGCCATCCTTTGGGTGGGATATAAATCTTGTTTGAAGAAAATAAACAGGACAATGCTCGTTTAATAGTAAATAACACTTTTTGTTAATTATCTGCAAGATGAGTTAGTTAACCATCCACGGTTGTCTTGATCCCTATTTGTAAATTTATTTTATCATGCTTGATTGTGAAAAATCCCCTAACCATTTCGCTTTTTTATGAGTCGTGGCTTTAACAGTTCCGTTTTGGCTACGAACAATATGTGTTGTGTTTGACGTGTCAGGCGTGTTATACCGGCACATTGTGCATCGGGATGCAAATAAATTGAAATGAGTTCGTGCTCACCCAATAGCAATGTATATCGCGAATGTATTGGATAAATTAAATACCTATAGATCAAATAATATATTATGATCTACTTATTTAAGATATTTGGTGTTCTGTTTTCCATTTTGTTTGCATACTTCAAAGGCAAATAGTTTGCAGTTTTCAAATAAAGTTAACTGTTGAGTGACTGAAAACCGAGATGGACTATATGTGGGTTCGCTTCGTGTCGAGATTCAAGTCCGGTTAATGGCAAGAGGTTATTGGGATAAGCTTTACCCACAGCATTATCATCATCGTCATCAGTTTACAGCTGAACACAATGAAGCAAACGAACTTCACTGATCGCTGCGAAAACCCATACAACATAAGTGAGAATGTGTAAGGAGTGTAGGGTCTGGACCTATTCTGAGAAACGGGAAAAGAAAGCGCAACTCTATGGTCAATACACAGAGTACGTTGTACACACACTGTACACACGTGCTATTGCAAGCATCCTGGTCTGGTAAAAAGTGACAGGAATAACGCCAATGATGTCGATTTGCTGCCACGACCTTCATCGTGTCTAACCAATCAGTTACGACGTCTTTTGAACCCCAACGCAGAGGACGAAAGACACCTACTCTACCTAATCGCTCTGTGCATTTGTTTATGCCACGTAATCGCCATCATCTGCTGGCCTCTATGTGGCTTTCTTCAGTCTACAATGCTCACTGCAAATAATACGCGGTGCTGTGGGCGACTGTCGGACATACGCAAAACGTGTCCTAACTAACGGAGCCTATTGGGCTGAATTCCACGTGATAGCGAGTTATTGTTTCATTTACTCCTAAATACCCAGCGACTTACTTCGTATTTGCAAACCCACTCACTCCAACCGACATAAGCGTCGATTGTCAAAAACCGTTATGCTCTGGGTATCTTCTACCCACAAAATCAAGGTCTCCTAACCGTAATTGAACGTATTGAATTGATCGTACAGTGACAACTTCACATTACCATCACGTCATTGCCACAGATGTTCCAGTCCTGCTTACGCTGCTCGCGCTTTGGAACTGCGTGGACTTGTCTCCATTGATGCGCTACCATCGTTGGCCATGCGACTACCATACTACGAGAAGTAGTCAATTTCACTTTATTCCCGACCGTTTAGTTTCATAACGGAACTCGAGGACACCCAGTATTAGAGCCTCATTTAGCAACTACAAAGCGCAAGTGCATACCGAACGGTGCGGTAGAACCTTCTAGTCTGTGAAGTGCATTGTGTGCGTCCTGAAATCATGGTATTTGATTTGTATTGGAATCACAGCTGTCAGAGAGCCTTGGGTTCAGTTCGTGAAGGCATGAATCGATGGCGTAGACTTGCAGCATATCACTGAAAAATATATTTCCTTCATTTCAAATTCATCTAATAAACGATTTGTTGTATTTTGTCTGAAAGAATAGATAATCGCGAGTTGAATCGGGGATTATATTGATTAGGAGTAGATGCTCGTGTGGTCGGTGAGCAAGCAGATAAGTAAGCACATACGCAGACGGGGAGACCAAGACAGGCTCAAGCATTTCATAACATTCGAAAGCTGTCAAATTGGACAGTTTATCAGGCAACGATTCTATCAGCGCACACTGTTTAATACTAATGTTTAATACTAATGATCATTCACCAAAGTGGATCGATATTATATTGAAGTTTGTTCACATGATGTGCGAAGGTGCATGCGTTTTGGTGAGAGGCAGCATCGAACAATCAATCAATCAGATCGTGGACATGCATGACAAACGTTTCAGTCCGTAGTTGGCCACAACACAATTGTGCAGACATTTACCAGGAGGCAGGCAGCAATCTATTCATGGATGTCTGGAAGAATGCGTATGGTGGGAAAGATAAGCGGCGTTGTCATTATTGTAGCAAATGAATAATGTGTCGCTGTTTGGATTATATCAACCAAATTTCACCAAACTAGCAATTTCAAAATTTCAAAATCGCTACCCGGAATGTTTATAGCAAGACGTTGCACACCCGAAGTAAGGCATTCTAGAGAAAAGTGACTAACCCCATAAGAATCGAAGTGACTTGTGTGCCCGCGTGCTATACATGCTAGCCACCACATTCCTTGAATATCAACCAACCAGCTTGTGGAATAAAATACACATAGCAGAGAACCAATAATAACCACACTGAGGTAATCCAAGTCAAATCAACTGAAGTCAGGACTACATCTAACAAAACGCCAGCAAGAGATTGTGACGCACCTCAAACAGTATAGGGGAAAACATGTTCAACAATGAATCACTGGAAATTGCTTTAGACGGCCATTTTTTCGCATCCACAGTAATAGGAAGAAAGAAATCGGAGGCCCGGAAGCGGTGCACATCTATTTAAATAACTGATCATATCAATCCCCTTGCAGGGTCAGAATTGAGACCTCGCAGGTAGGAAGAAAGATATAACTTGCTTGATCATCAAGCATGCAAACAGTTAACTTTTTGTTTGTTCTTTATGCGACAACAGCCACTAGTTACTTTTACTCAACCGTAACCCGTAGCCCGACTCACAGAACATTTCTAACCAAGTGAAAGTCTGATAGTTTAGGACTGAGATGAACAATTTAAGATTTATCTAACAAGCATACAACATGATTGTTCTCTGTTGTGCGTGGAGTAAAACAAACTGTTTGCTCAACTGACCCAGGGGGGGGGCACGACAGTGATATACATTCTTTTTACTTCTTAAATTCCCATGGTTCGGTCACTGGACTGATTGATGTGTTTTGAACCGGTGATGATATCGAACAGTTCATATTTCCCAAGGGCACTTTACTTTAGAAATAATTTTTCATTTGTGAAGCTAATCCTCCTTCAGTTTGCAGTCCGGTAAAAAAAACAATACTCGCTTGTCGCTTAGGTTTAGCCCCGCCCGACTGGGAATTTGGCGATGGGCAAAAACTAGAATAATGAATTCAGGAAACTAGTTAGTTGATATCGAATGACTTTCGATGAAAACATCACACTCATATGCATAAAAAGTGAACTAAACGCATATTGGTCCATCACTTTATACTCACTACCAAACACCTATTAAAAACGATCTCATGTGCGCATTTATTGTGTCACACCCGAATGCCGTCAGTTTGCAACACGACTGTGCAACCTCTGCGTCAATCCCACCCATATTTGCGGACAAAAAGATCACAGTAAGATTCAATCTCCGGGCGGGTTTCAAAATGAGACGGCGATTTCTTTTGCAAAATCGACCTGAGAGTTTATCGTATAATTTTCATAATGTGTTGTTCTGATTTGTAAGGAAGTTAATGACAGAAAATGATGCAAAAATATTAAAAAAGAAAACTTTGCGCAACAAGTATTAAAATCAAAATTTCAACTTCTTATTTTCCATTTCGACGCTGAATGTTTTGATTACGCAAACACACGGTGATGATCATCGTTCGGTGTATGAGTGTGAAGTCTCGACCTGGAGGTTCGTGGTTCAAGTTCTGACAGAGACACAAACAGGAGTATACACCAGTCCAGTGCACTTTACCGATCATCAGATTTATAATTTTTGCATCCGTATTCACCAATTTACTTTCAATTTAGTTAACGCCTACGGTGCGAGAGTAGTTGGGCGGTTTCAAACTATTCTGGTTTCGGTTATTTGAAAAATGGCTAACCAATCACAGAGTGAACATCATTACAGTTCCTCAAACAGGGCTTATTTGCGGACGGTAATGCCAAGTTTTAGCTCCCTGATCACCCGCGATACTGAGATGGGTTGAAGAACTAGATCGAATAAGTTGCTAGTCAAAGACAGGGTTCTCAGGAAATGTTTTTAGAGCGTCGAGGTATATTGTGCCACAATACAACTTCTAATCCCCGAGGACCGGGATCGACGAATGGCACCTGCTCTCTGTTAGGGCTGGTGGTGATCCGATGGTAAAGGCCACCAAATGAGAACTCCGTATCAGGTGTATTCAAATCCCACCACCACCATAACCAGTAGCACCGTCTGACTTCTCCATTACATATTGTGTGGCAACCAATTGAATAGCCACTTTTCCTTTCTTGAAATCTTTATCGTTGGATATTCAATAAAGAGATGTGAAGATGAGAAATGAACTACAGAATACCAGCTCATAAATGTACGATGCCAGCAACTTTTTGGTGGATTTCTATCGCCCAGAATCACACCTGATTAGGCGATGATCAGCGCTTTTTTTGGAAAACAGTAATTGGTCCTACTGTGAAAACTGATTTCTTACTTTGAAATAACCATCCTTAATCGCGTCCTATCAACGTAAAACAGACAGACCAGTTGCAACCAATTAGGAGCGAGTATAGGAATTACGTTCCATCCAAACACGTGAACTGCTAGAATTACTTGTTCGAAACAAAACCGATTGCAACTGCAACATCGCCAGGTCAGAAACTCAGGGTTGATGGTCTTGCGCACGTCAATAGGATCCGATTTAACCGATGAACCCGTAACATACCCGATGCAGACAGATTGCTGTTAGCTCTGGTAATTTGCACTCTTAATTTTCAAGTGAGAGGCTGCTTAATTTCATGTGTTGCTTTTGATTTCGGCCATCAGCTGGTGAAACTGTCTCACCTGTTTCTACATGAACATGAAATCAATTTTCGAACATTTTTGTTTCTTGTCACATTTTACGAACGCGTATTATCTTTTTCATTTGAATTTCCAAAATTGTCGTGTCCTGGATACAATTTGGTAATGACAGGACTGCCTGTCTAAATCGCCTAATTACTTTTCAATCTTTTGTAGACATTGTGGTCAATTTCAACACGACCTATGTGAATAAAAACGGTCAACTGGTACACGATCGACGTCAACTGGCAGTTCACTACATTCGAAGCTGGTTCGTGATTGATGCACTGGCTGCTCTCCCGGTGGACTTTATGCTCACCGTAGTACAAACCATTTGGAGTGGGGATATGGAACGGAGCTCAGGATTTGTCTGGTCCAAAGGCCTTCTTGACAGTGTGAATGGAACCGGAGAGGAGCAGGTAGATTTAACTAACTACCATTCGGTGCCGGGATGGAATGTGGTAAGCTGATCACAATCATTTGTAATTGCCAGCGAAACAGCACAGAACAAAATAGAGGGAAACGTTTTTCAATTTAACTTCCTTTAATTGAATTTATAAGGAGACACTTTTCAGGCAGGGGGAAGGGGCCAATCAAAGAGCTACCATTCAACACACAATGTGAAAAGTAAGCCGGTAGTTGTGGGATTCGAACATATTCCGGGGGTGATAATTTGGTGACGTTATCACCGAGCCATCGCCGCCCACGAGTCGAGATGTCTACTATTTTATACATGATTGTTGATCACATACAAGGAACTCATTATTTATAGAGCAAACTTGGCGAGAGTTGAAAAACTAGAAAGCACTGGGTAGCCACTGTTTCAACTCGGTTGGGTCTCATCAGTGAAGTAAGCGACCCAACTGCGGAGTTCATGTTAGATTATACCTGACAATATTCCGTGTACAGTGCGCGTTTTTAGTCGACATCCGGATCAACAATTAAATTACGAAATTTTGACAACACAAGAACAGAAACGCTTTGATCAACAGGTATATTAGTACTGTTTCGTATAATTGTAGCATGGAAAGCGTATAGCTATTTGAACTTGGTCTAAAGGCTGCCAAATCACGTTTTCATGTCGTGTACTGTTCAATACGGTCTTGGAGCCCTACATCCATGAAGCCAGAAAGGAGGGGAAATTTTATTCCTCCATTAAGTCAAGAGGACGAACGCATTCTTGTGCGGATCTTGACGAATAGAACTTTTGCGGTTGTTTTGAAAATTTAAAGAAATGCATGCATACGTTTCATGAACATTCAATGACAGAGAAAAAATGTTTCCCAATGCGCCGTACACAACGAGTCGGAGGTGGAAATAGATGACCTGGCAAGGAAGCCTTGAAACATAATCTATTATCATTCAGTGATTACCACTCACACAAACCAACCATCAACACAACTGAGAGCACAGCCTCAGAAATGTTTGCGTACGCTGCGTACCTCATCAACTCAGTGAGGAATAGAAAGCAGTTGGGCCAAATACTGGTACCACACCATGCTTGCCAGATTTGATGGTGATTTTTCCGGTGAACTTTGGAAGCTCGTAAATGTTGATGAGAGTTGGATGTACAGTTTCTATCGAGGGACCCAGGGCTTAGAGTAAACCTCAGCTGCGGTGGAGTTCTCCATTGAAATGATAGCAGGATTCCCTATTAGGTATACTCTAGCTAATTCACGAAATAGTTTGAGCATATGGAACTGTGCATGCATTCTGGCGGAGAATACTTTGAACAAATATAATGTTCATTTTTATAGAACCGTTTGGCTCAGCCCCCGTGAATCTTCGGATGATTGAATATGAGAATTACCTCAAACGTTGATATTTCTGATATATAATATCTTTGAGCAATTCACAATAGGTATGTCATCTGCAAAGCCTGGAAGAGATGCGCCTTGTTTCGGCTTTTAAAGTAACGTTAAAATTCATTTTAAGTAATGTTCTCGCTGTTCCATTAGCTAAGCCTCTAATTCGTGAAATAGGCGGTTAGTTCTGGAACATAGAATTTAGTTTTCTTTGCCAAATACTGCAGCATGAAAAAGCACGGGTCAAATGAATAGCATCAACTGGTTTTCACAAGGTTACTTTGATTAAATTTCTTTAAAACCATCAAGATATTGACATATCGATCTTTCGTTTGGTTCGCACCTCTATGCAGCTGCCTTCCGTTGTTCAGTGTGATCGCTGTTTTGTACGAGAAAACAAGACGCAATTTGTGCAAGAAGGATTTCACCCTGCCTATTGAAGGATTTCATTATGTCATTGACTGATTAGCCGGAGGCTTATCAAATATTCTTTTCGGTAGTGCTATATATATGTAGGCCATTTGCTATGTAAGGTAATCAAATGTTCAACGAAAAGCGAGTACTTCCCATATTATTTTCCACGCTCGCACAGGTTCAACCCTTTGATTTCTTGAACATGGCTAACCTCACAGGAAACGCAACGGGAAATTCAGCGTTTTAGAAGATATACAGTGACAGCTTCCATCGCCAAGCATTTTATATTCATGGTGTTCCTAAATTGAACTGTAGTTTACCGTGCCTATTAAACGACACGGTTTATCTGACCTGAACATCGACTTCAGGCTTCAACTTCACGCAATATCCTCTATTCTTCCAGTCAATCCTACACCGAGCAGCACTAGACTCGAATTTCCCTGTTATTAGAACTTAGCAGAAGTGCACATCCATCGTCCTGTACAGGATTTGAATTCCCGATAAATCGCATGGAATGCGTGTTAGTTACCACTGTGTCAACCGGCTAATGCCGGGGTAAAACTGATATTCCAATTCTACCACCTAACAGATCTTCCAAGCAGGCTACGGACTAACTTGCCACAAACAAAGTAGGCTGAATTAATGAGTCACATGCAGCTCACTGGTACAAGCGAGTTTTCGAATAATTATGCCTTGAGGTCAATGGCGGATTATTTTGTAAACGCGGCTAGTGCTTTTCCTTTATTGTTTTCAGTGAATAACTAAAATTAATTTTTTTTAGGACCAAACACCACTTTTTATACTGTCTGATATGATTTAAAAACGATAATCTTATCCATGGTACAATACCCATGTTTGTGGACCGAATTCCAGTGGGTGTTTGCAGCGCGGGAACATTGTTGCATAAGGATTTCAACTGTAGACCTTTCTAGTCACCGGATACCACTTGCAGTGGGGGAAACATGAGGGGAACAAAGTGAATTTTTCAGGTTCCCCCACTTCCTTTTCAACAGCTGCTTTTTAATCCCCTTTTGTTACCTGTGTAAACTTGGAGAAACTATAGTCAGACTGATGGTTAAGCGCATATACCATTTCGTTGATATTAAAATTTACTGGAAAGACTAATCGCCTCGTCTGAGGCCTTGTTTTCGTTGAGAGGAAATCAGCCAGCGGATGATCAAAATTGGAGGTGACATTTAAATATTATTTACCACATTTTACGTCACTGATACAAAATAAAATTGACAGCCAAATAGATCATGTGGTCGAATCTCAGGCGCGACGATCGGTTACCAATTGAATTGAATATCATACGGGAACGCAGCAGACAGACAAGACCACAAAATCGTCTGATTCGGAATGTGGTAGGCTTGGTAGAACTTGACTGTAGATGGACTACACTAAAAAGAATGGAAAAGACGGTACTCTAGGAGAACAGTATACCAGCTCAGTTGATGGTAATCAATTAGGTTTAAAGGAGGAATACGTTATAATTGGATTGCCTTAACCAGAAATCCTTAACAAAATAAAATCTCCATGATGACAGGGCTAAGCACCCAGATCGTCTTACGTAATCAACAACCAAAGAAGAACGTGAAATGGAAACCGTTCGGACGTTTGGACGGCGGATATTCATCCAAAAAAGAACGGGGGACTGATTCTGGATTTCCGACCTCTTGTAAATGGTAGTATGTGCGATGAGAGATCTACCGCAGAATAGGATCGAACAATTTCCAATACTCGACCTATATATAATTTTGTAGATGACTATTTGATAGATTATCAAAAGATAACCTGGTTATCCGACCTTATATTGTGTTTAATATCCCATGCACATTGTTAAAATATTCAATGATGCAGATGTGACTGAAAAAAACTGAGTAGATTTTTGTCAAACATTTTGTGAGTTGACGTGCATCAGCAATTTTCTACCGGCTTTCATTTTCCAAATCTGAATGAATGTTTATTGTCAGTAATACCATGAAATTTATTTAACCCAATTGCAACGTACTGAGAGTTCCGATTCTGTTATTATAAAATTGCAACATAGACAGTCGTGAAGCAGATAACTACAAACCAGTGGGATAGTATTTAAAATGTCTTGTCTCTTCATTTGGCAAAAAATGTGGGTTCAGGGAAAATATCACGTGCTAACAGCCTATCCGAATCGAATAGATTCATGCCCTAAAAGGACCGACCGTTACTGGTAGCTCTCATGCATGAAGAGTAGCGAGTTTTGGAATATCTTCGAAGAAGGTCACCTAGACAGGTGGATACTCACGTGATTTGTCACAAAAGATCGAAATTTATGAATACTGACAAATCTATAGTGTATTGCAATAAACCTAATCTACTCTGGATCTGTCTAAAACACCACTGGTTTTCCTCCTCCATCCCTAATCCCCAAACGTCAATTCACAGGTGACTCTGTTACAGGTAATGAAACTGGCCAAATTGTTACGGTTGGCGCGACTGTTTGAAAATCTGGCCAGACTGTCACAACACAGCATTGTGGTGCTCAGTTTGCTCATGTTTACCTTCACCCTCGTTGCTCATTGGTTCGCGTGCATCTGGTACGTGATTGGTGAATCGGATCATTCCGAGGCAGGTACGTTGTTCCACGCCGCAGTGATGATAGTGTACGGAGCAATTGGAAATACTAAGATCAGACACGCTGATAAATTGATGCCTACTCATTTTAAACAGATATTTTATCCGGAAATTTGTGTCGCATCGGTTAGAGATGAAACGTTACAACATATTTATTAATGGCAAACAGCTGGTCAATGTTTGAGGCGCTTTTGTGCTGAAATATCAAAATGCTTTTTTATATGTGACTCATGTTTCAAACCTTGCGCTGTATTTACTTCAAAAAAAACTTTTGGGGTCTTCTAAACTGTCATTGGCCAGACTGTATTCCACTGTCACATTTTAGTATTTATTAATACACCTTTTCTCATCAAGCCTTAGCCAAAACCCTTAATCCTTTAGCCTCAAACCGCAAATATTTAACAAAACCTTAAATGCTTCAGCCAAAACCTACAATCGTTTAATCTGTATCATCATTCCTTTAGCCAAAACCCGCAATACTTGAGCCAGTTTTCAATGTACTAAATAATAATCAAATTAAAGGATTAAAATAACTCACCTGTTTCAATTTACTGAAAATCTCTTCCATTGGAATAAAAAAGGGACTGTATAATAGGATAAATCGGACTTTGTGGTTGACATTTAATTGCGCATCCAAAGCTCTCGGATGAACGGGCGCATTGTAGAAGATAAAAACTACCGGCACACGGTTGCTCACTAGCGATTAGTGTAGAACGGCATGCTAGGAACCCAATAAAAAGATGCCAAGTAATTCATGTACGACATACATATCTCAAAATATCAGCGACAGATGCACATGCTATTATCTTCAAATTAGATCCCCTGGTGAATAGGAGGATTCTAATGCAAATGTGATAATCTAAACGTAGTAGCATTTTAAAAAAACGATTGAATTAGATATTCAATTAAAAATCAGGTTTAATTTTCTGAAAGCCGAATAAGAGAACATATTTGCTCCCTGAGGAAGATACATGTCCATCCTTAGGTTTCGAGATACGTTTGTTCACGAAAACAGCCGACATCTATCGAGTAGATGTTTCACCGATTGAGCAAACGGCTTAAAGTTGACGCGTTTAGAAAACATCGACGATCTCCGGTAATATTCTGGTAATTGCTTTCTATGTAGTGTTGAAGAGAAGACGCCTAAGGTCTTCCCCTGTAACACTATATTTTATGATTTTAAACGTACTCCTGGTAATTTTCGGGACTTTTCGAAATTCATTCTTCTGTAAAAAATCACTACCTATCCCCGTCAATGTACCTGCTTTTCACATTATTTCTATTATGAACTGAGCCTAATAATTTTTTACAACATCTGGAAGAGCTGGCGCCAGGCAAAAAATTGTCTGACATGAATATTAAACATTATTGATTACATTGGACGCGACAGCGACAATTTATTTCATGACAGCGAGGAAATTTGTATCGTCCAAACATCATCCAATTTCAGACCAGGCTGTTTGGAAATTGTGTATTAGTTACTGGTGAGATGAAAAAGCTGTTTCTTCAGACAACCGCTCTTTTAGTTCAGTAGGAAACAAATCAGAGCCAAAAGATATTTGGCATTATTCATTAACATCTAGCTCCCCCCGGCTTTCTTCCAACTCACTTTTAGGTAAGCTCTTGTGCAGAAAATGAAAGGGATTAGAAATCGTCAGTGGTCATAGACTATCACATTGCTATTTCCTCATTCTATTTACTATAAGTGGACTTTTTTCCATTAACTTGAAAAGGGTCTTTCAGTGCTTGGACTCTGCGAAATCAAGTAATCAATCATTTTGAGTTGTGGCAATGACCCGGTATGATGCTTTCCAATCGCTCCGTTTTTCAATGTGCAGCAATATTTGCAATTGAAGATGAACCATATAGTTTGAGTTTTGCCTCCAGTGTCGCTCTAGTCTGTGTTGTTTGACTCATTTATGAAGTCGCTACGTTATTCTGACCGCGTGAGTGACTCTGTACCCGAATTTAAGTTTGAGGAACTATTGTTATTCGGTCGCGAGAGATATTTCTGTTTAAATCAAGCACCTTTGGATCAAGATTGTCGTGGATAAAAGCATTGGATTCATAAAATGGACTTTGATCCAAGACGGGAGAGATAGTTTGCAGGTGAACACTGTCCATCAGGTGCGCTTCTGTGCGCAGTCTTCGCTTCATCTGTGTATGACCTTTAGAGAATGATTTTTGAGCATCAGACTTTCCATGAGCTGAATTTCCGGACATCTCGGTTACAAAATGAATTTGAAATTAGAACCAAATCAAAGCACAAATGCGTTTTATGCCGAACCCCAAGGCTTTGGAAGCATTTGAGAGGAATCATCACAACATATTGTTACCTACTACAAGTAACCTACAGATTTTGTTGCACGAAGGTTGAATACTACCACACTGCACGGTAGTGCTTTCATTCACTGTAAACTGATTGCATCAAAGGATCAGTGTAACATTCATCGAGTCACCAGGCTTGTTTTATTTTAGTTCAGCGAACATAATTGTAGATCGTATTAACCCGTCCATCAGCTTTACGATGGAAACAGAGGATCACAATACGTTCCACTTCCTCGACGTTAACCTAAATAAGAGGCCCAGTGGAAAGTTATACCGGTCTATTTTTCGAGAACCAACATGGAACGGCCAATACATCCATTTCCAAAGTTCCGTCCGAATCAAATTTAAACAAAACCTAGTCCGATGGCTGGCCTTTAGAACTCAAATGCTTTTCTCCAAGGACCCAGTGGAGCAAGAACTTAGATTCATCAAATTATTGCTCCTGAATAACGGATACCCGGAGAGTTTCATTGAGAAGAAGTTCATGAAAGCCCATACTGTCTATTCCAATCATGGTGAAAAAGAACTATTCTTGCATATCCAGTTCAAAGGCAATGTGATTGGTGATCTACTAAGAAGGTGTTTGGAAAATATCCGGCTGCCACTCTACGTGCGACGTTTACAAGCCGGCCACAGCTTTGCACAAACCTCAGGGATAAACTGTTCATCTTCTCCTCATCTATGATTACATATTCCTTCATTTGCACATGTTCGGCACGTTACGTAGGACGAATGATGAGACAGTTCTCATGAAGGACCGGAAAACATAAACTGGCATGGCTTAGTATGGGTTGCAAGAAAATAATAGCCAGTGCGGTAATGGATCACTTCCCTGATACCGGGCACCAGCCTAAGAACAATGTATTTAGATTCATTTACAAACTGCCCGCAAAACAATCAAAATACGCTCGGAAACGTCAATTGACAACGACAGAAGCTATATTGATCGAAATCCTGAGCCGACTAAACTGCAAACAGAAGAAGGTGGTTGATGATGATGCGGTTGTGTTTGTTGTCGTACCAGTGGACCCATTCTGTGTAACCTGATACAGGATTTGAAATCATGCTTCAGTATGTGATCAAACATGCAGCAAATATGTCGGTTGTAAACTCTACCTGGGGACTAAATGACGAAACGTTGCATAGCTCCGATAAGGCACATTTGATCATGGTTTAGTTTGAAATCATTTTTTGATGTAACGATGGAGCTGGACGGGAGGGGGTGAGTTATTCATCGAAACTACTACGTCAAACTAGCTTTGCATAAGAAGATTTATGGTTGATGTCTTCTCCTACTTAGGTAGTTGCGTGATCAGCGACAGTCGCCTGGCGAAGGAAATAACCGCCCGCACATCCCCGGCTCGAGCAGCATACGCAGGACTAAAACACCTGTGGCGATACCGCAATGTTTCCCTAAAGTTGAAAGATCGTGTTTATTTTGCTACCGTTCATTCAGTTCTCCTTTATCGTTTTGAAACCTTGAATTTACGAGTAGAACATACCCGTAGAATAGAAGATTTTCGTTTATCAATGTCTACGTAGTTCAGCCCATATGGGTTGGAGCGAACGGGTTAGTAATGTGAAAGTAAGTCGTCCTGTGTTTGGAGTTTATCAGGGATAAACCTGCTAGTACACCGAACTCAGATTAGTAGACTTCTAGAGTTAGGGTCCGTTTTGCGTTTGCACAGTTGTCGTCTGCTGCATCGCACCTTATTCGCTGTAGCTGCTCCGGGTAGGCGGAAACCATGTGGAGATCAACAGATGATCTGGGGACGAAGTATGAAGAAAGGCACAGAAACATTATGTAGAGTAGGTGTCTCTAGTCTTCCAGATTGGGGTCCGAACGACTCCACAACTGGTTGGTTGGAGACATTGAAGGATATGGCAGTGCCGTTCTTGTTGTCTTTTTTTATCAGGCCAAAACACTTGAGACGGTATGTATGCGGAGTTCGATTGTGCACTCTCGTCGTTTACCATAGTTGTTCACCTTCTTCCTCCTCCCCAAAATAAATTCATTTATTGTCCACCTAAATATTACCACTGATCTTTTATGCATTGGCAGAGATCAATGATGTTTGCTTTACTATATTTCACTGTACAATGATGACGGTGGCATCGTTGATGCTTTCCTATCAATGGAATCACGTGATACTTGGCCCGTGGTGGTCAAATGGTTCAGGACAACAAAACAGTCACCCGGAAGTTGCGGGTTCGACCCACTCTACCGCTGCCTATCGTCCCCGTTGCTGTATTATCCCAGGCAACCTTTGTATAGCCGCGGCCCTATTCGTGACAGTGGATTGTACGTTTGTATGTCGAATAGGTTGAAAAGGAAGTAAAAAGACAATTTAATTTATATTAATAAAAACTCACACTCGGCTGAAGACCATCAACGAATTCACGTTACCGAATTCAACCAATGCAACCATGACAGTCAACTGTTCATCCCCATTAATTCCAATTGTTGGTCGCACAGAATTTGGTGAAATAACAGGCCAGAATCCGAAAATTCATTCCAGTTATTATCAACGATTTTCGTTAAGCTAAGAAAGCATTTTTGTTTACACTTTACCAAGGATTTCATCTATCAATTGTAAATGGATAAAACCACGTGAAAGAAAGTGAAATGCTTCCGTTCGCAAGGCTTTAATGCTGATGTCGCATACCATG